TACACTACGGCTGCCCAACCTGCCAGGCATGACCTACGTGTATCTAATGTGCGCACTGCACAGTATGCATTACTGAGTCTGTGGTATGTATTCACCACAGTTAGAGTAAGGGTTTCTAGTACTTTCTACTCTACTTTCTTCAAAGTATCCGATTACCGCCCCTTTCTCTGTGAGGCCTCGAATGAAGAACGACAGGAAAGACTTCAAAAGCAAATTCTGCGTGCCATAACAAACGAATCGAAAGAGAAGACGAATCCGTGAATGGAGTTTTATTTTGTTCTCCGTAAATTTCTCACAGCTTGCACAAAGCGCTCCATTCTGAATTTCCGACTTACGCTATGGCCAATTTGGTGTGGGTGAGCTCCCACACCCTGTTCTTGACCAGTCAGATAATGTGAGTCTGCGGGTCAATAAAACGCACGTAAAGTATACACGGATTTAACTCAATTATTTGCGACTAAACCTCCCTGATATGAAATTCAAGCCTGCTAAAATTCAACTCAGTTTCAACGCCTTGTTTGCAATGCTCAGATACACAAAGTTGGCATGGTGCGCATTCCTTGCCAGTTGACACTCAAATTCAGCTGTTTTGTCAGGTGCCGCCTACGGTATATAAAAAAAGCTGAAGAGATGAAACCCTTCTGTTGGCTCCCGATTTTCACGGTAGTACGGTTTCGCTCCCGTTCCCGGGCTCCATATTCGACGCTGTTGATCATACCGTACTGGCAATATATATGGTCGCAGTGAGGCCATGAAGCGTTACATTGGCACATGTTTACCGCACGCAGGGCGTTACATGCAAAGTCGCACAGGAGCCGTTACACAGGTTTCTATATTGCCGCAGTCCTTTTTTTGCCACGCGGTACACGTGCTTTCACAGTTTTCAGGCTTTGCAGTGCAAACTGCAATGAAAAGATCGCCGCACCCCGCCGGACGCGCGTCACGAACGCAACGAAAATTTGTCGCACTAGCCTGGTCGCGCGTTACGCCGCACCCCCCCCCCCCCCCGCGTTACGCGGCAACATATATTGCCAGTACGGTATTCGATGCTGTTGATGTGTTTATTTTTATTTTTTTACGCTGAAGTGCACAGTTCAACAGAGAACGTAAAGAGAAAACATAACCAAGGGGAAGAACGGGGCAATGCAGAAGGGAGCCGGAGCAGCATGCTGATGAATTGAGCCTACCTCCCCCGACCATGGCTCGCAGGTTTAGCGGCAAGACCGAGCATCATCTACCCAAACAGAATACTATAGGAAATAAGTAGGCATGTGTGATATAGAGGAAGCAAAATGAGATGGTGAAATGGCTTCTATTTGGTAATAAAAAACGCGCAGCCGCTCTTCACCTCTTTCTTTTGTGAGTTTCTGGGAACAAATTATCTCTTAGTACTCTGGTATTGAGGATGTTCGGCACCCCTACTACTTGCAGCAATAAAAAATAACAAGCTAGTTACTGCTTACGATTTTTCCTACAACTTACCGCTTCTCAGTGCGCCCATACGAGTGTTTTCTCCTCATTCTCTGCATCCTTTACCCCAGGAGTCTCGTCCATCAGGCTCAAATGCTTGAGCACGAGCTCCGGATAGCGGAAAATAGCTCGTCGTCCATTAGCGGCTCTAATAGTACCTGGTCTGTCTAGCAACTGCAACCATGATCTTTTTCCAGGAGGGTAAAGCTTCGTCTATCAAACCAAACAATTGCCCTAAAAAATGGAAGAGGAAACAAGTGAGCGAGCTGGTCTGAGCGCGCTACTTTTCAAAAAATAGAAGCTGAAAGCCATCAAAGTCAAAGCATTCTAGTTCTGGCTAGCGCGTTTGTGTATGTCACGAGCGCTAGCGCGCTAGTCGCAGCAAACGCCCGCGCGCAGGCCGGAGTTAGCGCTATTCGTGCTGTTTGCCGCACGCGGCAGCTGGATGGATCACGTGACCCAAGCTGACGAATAAGGTCCGATGGTTCAGCTACATTGAGCCACAAGCATTCGGCACCGACCTTAGGCCGATTCCACACTACACCAAATCCTGCCTAAAAAGCCATTTTTCAGGCACTTTTCAGGCAAGTTGCCATGGCGATCACTTTGAGGAACGCGCGAAAGTGAAAAGTGCTTGTTGTCTACAAAGCAACACCAGCACCCTCTTTCAAGGCAACTTTTTACCTTTTCAGGACACTTTTCTGACTTTTCTTCAGCCTTTCGATTTTTTTCCGAATGTGTTCCCTGTCGTATCTTTCAGTTGTGGTGAGTTGTGGGCTGTCAACAATGCCTAGGGTCATGTTTAGCCAGGAGCTTGAGGGCAAGCTGATCGAGCTTTGGAGCGGACATTTGAGGCGACCTCCGGGCGGTACAGTTCGCAGGAGCTACGCCGGAGGAGATCGCCATCAAGCTGAATTTGTTTGCTGAACAGCTCCGGGAGGAGGCAATCTATACTGCGTCGATCGTCCATTCCAAAATCGACAACATGAAAACGAAGGCGAAAGGACTGTACGAGACATACACAACGAAAACTGCCACCGGAATGCCTGTTGGCGAGGTTGACAAATATTCGACCTATGATCTGGAATCCGCCTACACAGCGCGCGCTAGCGTGGTCAAATTTCAAGATTGGGCACGCGAAAATGGGTGATATTCGAGGATTTGGACCAACAAAGATCCTCTCCACTACCGCCGTACCGTTGCTAGATCAAGCACAGGAAAGCCTCACAGTCTAACCTTCAAAGCAAAGTCCCATGATCGACACTTGTAGGTGTGAATGCAGCTTCACTTTATAAGCCACTTTATGCCTTCAAGGCAAAGCCACTTTCGGCGTAGTGTGGAATCGGCCTAAAACGCCTAAATTAAATCGCCGATGAAATTTTTCAGAGCATCTGTCGCACTATACCGGTATCCCATGCCCTCTAGCTGATCTACCCCACGCCGAAAATAAATCGCCACCGAAATGTCAAAAATCGTGAAGTGCCGAAATTTTGCAGCGCCGAAATTTTGTATATTTACAGTACCTACTTCGGACGTGCAGTACAAGTACAAGAAACTCAAATGCATGTCTACAATGCATGACTGTAGTCACGGCACGTCACTTGAAAAACGTAGTGTAACCTGTATTGACTATTGTAGTGTAGCTGCATGCAGTGTAGAGAGTGTCACGCACTGTGACCATGGTGGCACAGTGTTGTAATTGTTGCTGCTGCTGCTGCTGCTGCTGCTGTTGTTGTTGTTGTTGTTGTCGTTGTTTATTATTTTTATTTTACTTCACCAAGTGAACAGGCATTTCTGCCTTCTCACAAGGTCCGGAGACCTACATGTACATGTAGTTCCGACAAAAATTAATGATGAAGAGTGTCAGTGCGCGCTGTCGACATGTCTGTTACTACTGTTAGTGTCTGTGACTTTAGTCTTTAGTTTTACATGTATTTAGGGGCTGGTCGTCCTGCCCTAGGCCCTCCCACCCCATGCAGGGCCATAACGATTTCGTTTTGATGGACGACCCCTTCCGGCTTCACTTCAGACTTTAGACTTAAGTTTAGTAGACCTAGCTACATGACATTACATGTATGTTGTAGATCTGCAGTGTCGTCGTCACCATGGTCACGGAAAGCTTTCACTTTTCAGTTCGCGAGAACATTTTTTTGGTTTCTTTCCAAGTAAGTAATAACTCTTGCTTTTATCCCACTCGGCAGTTTCACTTTTCCTTTCCCCAGCAGCGCAACCAATGTATCAGTGTTCACTGTGCACCCATAATAATTGCTGTTCTCCGCAATGTCACACAGCGGCGAAGAAAGAAATGCAGAGGTAGTGTGCAATGCCGGATGCACATAATTATTTTACAGCCCGCTGATCCCCGATCCCGCTAGCTCTTGCAGTCTTGGCTTTACTTAGCGCCATCTGCCTAGCTCAGCATGCAGTTGACATGGTTGACATCAGGGAGTCGTAAAATACCACGGTATTTACGACTCCCTGGTTGACATGGTTGATCTTCTTTGAAGCTACCGGTAGTCATGGTAGTAGCCACGGCATGTAGATCTACAGTGTGGAGCTACGCAAGTCTTTCCTTGTCTTGTCTTGAGTACTTCTTACTTACATTACAACTACATGTAACTAAAAAAGTGACTTACTTCCTGGTATTGTGCAAAGACTTGAAGTATAAATATTAGTTGAGAGGTCGTTAATAGTGGAGCTAAGCCTCGCCAACGAAACGAGGCATCGATCAATCCCCCTGTCCCTGAGATGAGAGTGAGATGATCGATGATCACGATGATTGCCTGATATGAGCCCCGGCTCGTGCGCAGCTTGCGAGTAGGAACTAAACAGGAAGCATGCTTGCTATGCTGGCACACCGACGTTTTGACAGGGTGTTGTGTCTTCTTGTGCCTGTGGTAGATAATCCATGCGTGAAACACAGGCAGTAATTCCTGACCCCCATTGCAGCAACAACAATAATATTATTGTTATGATCACCGCATCTCGCGAAAACATCGTTTGCCTCTTCGGGTAATATTACTAATAATACTAGCACGTAGTGTATAGTGAAGTAGGGCCGATGGTGTTCCGGAAGACCTAGCGTCCTCCAATGATGCGTGGAGGTGATACGGTTTGTGAGCGAAGTACGCAATGTACCGGTATATTAATTATGGAAACGAGCCCAGTACGGCGAAGGAAATACGAAACGCGCGAGCACACCCACACCGCCAACATGGGCCCAAAACAGTGGCAAATGCACATACATGTACGCACAAACACGAACACAAGCCCCCCGGTGCACCGTGGTCCGTGGCTAGAGCTGCGATCGCGAGGGAACAATCGTCGATATCATGCTAATTGCGTAGCGTTTGGTAAGAAGATGCGCAGCTGCTTACTTTGCAAGTGTGAACTGCGGGGTACGTGTACATGTCTGCGAGTGTGGGGATAGAGCAGGTCCTGGATTCTGTGGAAAATCGGAGACTGCGGGCAGGCGAAAGTGTGAATGTGAAGACAGCGCGCGATGAACAGGAGACTGCTACGTTTTGTCCACATGCAGCATTCTCTCGGTTCACTTGCGGGCAGTTTGACCTGTAGTGAGGTTGGTTTATGTTCGTTTGGATAAAGCCATGAAAAGTTGAAGGCTCAGTACACGAAAATACCGGCTGACTTGGTTTATCCATGGAGCCGACACGCCACTTCAGGCTCCCAGGCATTCGCTAAGCCGTTGCTAGTGTGTTGATAAATGTTTCCTACAAAGTGTAGTGTAGGAGAAAGCAAGGTGTTACGACGAGCTGCTTGGCGTCAGTCCATTCCTCGTCGCCGCTTTCGTGCATGATGACACCACCTCCTTCAATGGTAATGGACCATGCCTTGTATTTCGTCGTTTCGCTGTTGTGGCTACGGGAAATCTCCGGTGTGGCGGTGGCAGCATCGGCGTCCAGAATCGAATCCTGCGGCTCGTGCCCATCGCAAGTAACCGGCACTGGAAGAGACTGGCAGTGCAACACCACTACCGGTAAGAACCCAGTCTGATTGTCAGTGCTCGGCTTTGTGTTCTGCTTTTCTGTGCGTGCGCGTACCCGTATGTGTGTGCGTGTGCGTGTATATGTGTGTGTGTGCGTGTGTGGGCGGGGGAGGGGGGGGGGGGGGCAGTGCTGGCAAAACTTTGCCATGTCACGGAGACCATGTCCAGATGCATAACAGATGGAGCAGTGGACAGTTTTCCCCGTGTGTAAAGGTTACATACATGACTGTAGATGTTTGGTGATTGCATTCTCCCAGATCACCACCGATATACTTGTGCTAGCACAGGCCTGCAATACCATCTTCCGTATCGATTTTCAGATTCAGGGTGAACTTTCAGTTGGTGCGCAATATTCTGGGCTCTTTTTCCGCACTGGCGATGATAATATTAATTTATTGTTGTTCACCCCCCCCCCCCCCCCTTCTGCTGCCGACCACATGCTTGTCTAGTAGAATGTTACTTGTGCGTCACTCACTCGAGAAACGCTCCACTTGAAATGCTTTTAAAGGGGAAGTTAAGGCAAAAATTAAAATTTCACCAGTTGTAGTCTTCGGGGTGCTGAGTCGAATGGTCTTGGTCCGAGAAAGCTGAGACGCTCCCTTCCTACTTGAATCCCAGTCGAACTCGCGCACTTCCACCGAAACTGGGTGACTGCGCCCTACTAGATGGGGATTTGTATGCAAAATGTCACTAAAAGCGCCATTTCGTTCTTATAAAAGCACGGATGACCGCGATTGGCCCACATGTTGTAGTCTTTTGGACGCCGAGTCGACTGGTTTTGGTCCGAAAAGGCTGCGATGCAGCGTTCCTCCTTTATTCCCAATCGAACATGGTTGAACAAGTGGTCACGTGCTCCTGGGTGCCCAAATCACCTGGTCACCACGCCAGCAGGCGACAACTTTCACACCAAGGTTCAACTCGAGTTCAACTCGAGTGACAGGACTGCACCCAAAAAAGGTCAAACAGGCTAGTAAGTTGTACCCTGCAGGCACGGTGACCAGGTGACTGGTGTATGCAGGAGCACGTGACCGCTTGTTCAACCATGTTCGATTGGGAATAAAGGAGGAACGCTGCATCGCAGCCTTTTCGGACCACAACCAGTCGACTCAGCGTCCAAAAGACTACAAGATACGGGCCAATCGCGGTCATCCGTGCTTTTATAAGAACGAAATGGCGCTTTTAGTGACATTTTGCATACAAATCCCCATCTAGTAGGGCGCAGTCACCCAGTTTCGGTGGAAGTGCGCGAGTTCGACTGGGATTCAAGTAGGAAGGGAGCGTCTCAGCTTTCTCGGACCAAGACCATTCGACTCAGCACCCCGAAGACTACAACTGGTGAAATTATAATTTTTGCCTTAACTTCCCCTTTAAATGCGGACAATTTTGGAGGCATATCTTTTTCCGTGGTTGGTCTCACCCTCTCCTCAATTTAATTGGCTGTCTTGACATGCCACGAGGTGCAGAAATAAATAAATAAATAAATTTCTTCCGTGAGGGTGCGTACACATCCATTAGGAATGCGCGTCCATGTAGTTTGCTGAAACTCAAGAAATGTGCTTGACGTCCTGCTCAACCTGTCCTCTGAAGAGCTGACTTCGCATACCGAGTTCGTCCCGTATTTTCAGGTAGTCGGCAGGGCGGTGACTACAACATGGGACTGTGATTGAAGCATGGCGATCTCAATTTGACTAGCTCACAGCATGCTATTTGTTTCTGTACATGATAAGGTATAGCTGCAATATTAACAGAAGAAATGCAGTAACTGCACTAAAATTAATACTCCATGTTATTTGCACTTCGGAATTAGCATGAGAGTTTTATCGCATCACATGTATTTTTTGTCGGTCATGTCATGGAAGCCGAATTCGGGAAAGAATTACCTTGGACACTGAGTTGTTGTTCCCGTTCCAAATGGTAAAATATCATATCAGTGCTACGCTAGCTGTAGGATGCTCTGTGTGCCAGGATGTGCACATGTTAGACTCTGAGTGCATTCTGGATGCAATGAGTGACTTCGAGTGTGAGTGAGAAGAGCATACAGCCAGCTAGTGTAGTGCTGTATGCACCCGCTGCATGTGCCAGTGACAGCTGCGATTCTGCAGCAGGTGTCTTGCAGTGGTACATGTACACCAGACCGGGCCTGCAGGAAATGAGAGATCTGAACTCATCATACATAACTATACTCCTGCTAGCATACGCAGTGAGTTCTCACCTGGAGTTGACAGGTAGATGGGCTTTCTCTCTTTGCGGCTATGAACTCCTAAAGCACCCTTTTCATCCTGCCCTGCATGCCGTTTCTGAGGAACTCTAAATAGTAAATACCCCCCCCCCCCCCAAAAAAAAAGAACGCCAAAGAGCCCAAAAGAGCCCAAAAGAACCCGATCCTGTTGCGCTTTGCGCATGTTTCATCACTTGCTTGGAATCGACTTGCTATCAGTAAGTATTGCTTGCTGCCGAAAATAGGTCCACCCTCCCACCCCCCCCCCCCCCCCACTCCTATGGCCAGAACTAGGTAGGACCACTTCCCTTGTCTTTCAGCATGCGGCTATTTCAGTAACCTGCTGATGCCCCGGCATTCTTACTGCTGTTGTACATGTACTAACTATTCTCCATAGAATCATTGGACTCAGATGGAGAGCCAACGTTTAATTTATACAAAAGAGAAAGACCAAGGAACTACAAGTTACGCTATACTGTCCACTAACACCACCAGTTACTTTGAATCAGTTAGTTAGTTGTAGAACGTCAGTACCGTCGGTCAGTGTCGTGCAATGTTATCGCATGAGCTGATTGTTTAGTAACTGGTGGTGTTAGTGGACAGTATAGCGTAACTTGTAGTTCCTTGGTCTTTTTCTTTTGTATTCTCCATAGAGTTATTCTATTAGAAGGTCAAGTTGAGGCATACGCCCGATTCCATTATCATGGAAGAACCGTAGGCTCTAAATGTACACAAATGCTTTGTTTCATTGGCATAGATTGCTTGCACTGCACTTGCATGATGAAAGTACAAAACCATTTTTTAAGTTAGGAAAACCCTTACACCTTCTCATCTTCTGTATGTGGTTGAGGGATTCTCCTTTGCAGGGTGATTCTGTGTCCTAAGCTTGAGCATTGAAGCACGGTATGATTAACAGTGAATAGGAGGTTCTCTATTTGGGGAGTCAACCTTGCTTACCAGGCTTCTCATACGGCTCATTCAGCCTCTCACACTCAGACGGCTCACTCAGCCTCCGCAGCAGGGGCCCTGCCCAGCTGCCATACACACACATACACACAGCTCTAAGCTGTCACTCACTCGGATCCTGGCAAAGCAATTGACAAACCCTCCTATTCCCCAAACTCAGTGGTTGTTCGTGTGAGTGCGGCATGCAGATGCTTGTGTTAATCATGATTTTTTTGGTTTAGAATATTCAGAATGTTCTCCGTTTGCAAGAACCCAGAAAAGTGGCCTATTTATTCAGTCCAGCAGCGGCCTACTTTAAACAGGCTCAGTCTAGTGCACAATGCTGGTGGACAATGCTGGTGAACTGCTGCTGAAGCCAGATGCTCCCTGACAGGACCTTGACTAGTTTCTTTAAGTTGAGACAATATATTGGCGGAACCTTAACATTTACAATACCAAATTCATTCAATATGACATATTGAATGAATTGTGGTCAAATATGTGATCCTGCCTCCAAGAAAGTTAGTCAATATGATTGTGGTCCGCTTTTTTCTATTTCTCCCAGTCCTGGCAGATAAAGCTTGTCGACCTCGTGATGTTAAACCTCAGCGAATAGAAAGCTTTAACTGCCTGAAAAATAAGAAGTTGAAGTACGAGGGAATGTGTCCCGACTTGCAAGTATTGACATCAGCGGCAATCCAGCCAAAACCACCCCGCTGCACAGTACGGCCTCCTAGTAAGTTGGAAAGCGATGTTTGTACATGTTCATTCTGTATGCATGTGTGTGTGTGTGTGTGTGTGTGTGTGTGTGTGTGTGTGTGTGTGTGTGTGTGTGTGTGTGTGTGTGTGTGTGTGCCAGCTAGTTCGGTTGGTAGGTACACTTATGCCTAATTGTGTTGGGTCTGTTGCCAACTGGCTCGGCTGCTTGAAGGTGTAATGTTGTACCTGCCACCTTTGTTGGTTCCAGGGTTCATATACTTTCTATTTGAAGTATGCATACCTGTTAACCATGGACTGCTTCTGGCTAGATTAACTCTTGTGTAATCAATGGTGCTAGTGAAGCTTTCATCAGATCCACTCTTATTTAGCCACTCACACTAGTAGCAAGTATTACCTTCACTGGGGGCAGGGGTAACTGCAGTTGGATCCCGGGACGGATACCCTGATGCCGTCAATCCTTTTTCTGCACCTTGTCCTCACCCACTTACTGAGGTGTGGTGAGCCCATAAGTGGGGTCATTTTCAAGTCCACCCAGAGTTTTGGGGATTTCAGGGGGTGTCGGCCGTTGGGCGGTTCAATAACCAATTGAGTCATCTTTCCAAGATTCCTTTTGAGTCTCTCTCCCCTCTCCCGGGGAGACTCACGTGACCAGTTTTGGCAGTGAGCAACAAGTACAGTACAGTACAGTGTGTGTGTGTGTGTGTGTGCGTGTGTGTGTGTGTGTGTGTGTGCGTGTGTGTGCATGTACGTGTGTGTACGTACGTGTGTGTACGTATGTGTGTATGTATGTGACAGCTAGTTCGGTTGGTGGCTACGCTCATGCCTGATTACGTTGGGTCTGTTGCCAACGGGCTCGGTTGCTTGAAGGTGTAATGTTGTACCTGCCACCTTTGATGGTTCCAGGGTTCATATACTTTCTATTCGAAGTATACATACCTGTTAACCATGAACTGCTTCTGGCTAGATTACCTCTTGTGTAATCAATGGTGCTAGTGAAGCTTTTATCAGATCCACTCTGATTTAGCCACCCACACTAGTAGCAAGTATTACCTTCACTGGGGGCAGGGGTAACTGCAGTTGGAGCCCGGGACGGATACCCTGATGCCGTCAATCCTTTTTCTGCACATTGTCCTCACCCATTTACTGAGGTGTGGTGAGCCCATAAGTGGGATCATTTTCAAGTACACCCAGAGTTTTGGGGATTTCAGGGGGTGTTGGGCGTTAGGCAGCTCAATAGCCAATTGAGTCATCTTTCCAAGATTCCTTTTGAGTCTCTCTCCCCTCTCCCGGGGAGACCCACGTGACCAGTTTTGGCAGTGACCAACAAGTAAAAGTATGTGTGTGTGTGTGTGTGTGTGTGTGTGTGTGTGTGTGTGTGTGTGTGTGTGTGTGTGTGTGTGTGTGTCCCATATGGTGCAGTGGTATGTGCAGTCGATTTCCAATCGAGAGGTTGCGGGTTCAATTCCCGACGATTATGGTCGCATACGTCTTTCTTCTCTTTCTCGGACTCTTCCTGACTTTTCTTTCATTCTCCTGGGTGGTTACCAACAGCCAGTGTATGCCGGAGTATGTGGTGTGGTGTGTGTGTGTAGAAAAAAAATGAAAAATGAAAAATAGGGATTCACTGGCCAGAAAAAGCCACTTCAAACAGCTGTGTGGTGGATACCAGGCTAAAAATAGTGGCGGTCAATTCATCAGCCTTGCAAGCTGTTGAATGGTGTAATCCCAACACAAGTTGCTATGTCTAACATAGCTGTTCGCTATCATCGCTTCCGCGATGGGCATGTCTGAGGTCTGAGGTGTGTGCGTGTGCATGTGTGTGTGTGTGTGTGTGTGTGTGTGTGTGTGTGTATGTGTGTGTGTTGTACTTGCCCACTTACTACGGTGTGGTGAGCTCGTGAAATGGGTCGCACATGCATCGTCAAGTCCACCCAGAGTCTGGGATTTTAGGGGGTGTCGGTCGTTTATAATAGGTGGTTCAATAGCCAATATTTATTTTATTGTTTAATCCTTCCAAGATTCATTTACATGTAGAATCTGCCTTCCCTCTTCAAAGGAGACTACCGGGCTGAAACCTTTAGGCCTTTGGATACATAATTTCCGGTGGAGACAGGGGAAATAACCTACTGGCACCTACCATATACTTGAACATTCATGGTTCTAGCCAAGGGGGGGGGGGGGGTAGGGGGCGCAGCACCCCTCCCCCCCCCCCCCCCCTCTACTCTAATGGCACCCACCCTTACGTTGCACTTTTCAAGTTTGTGACAAGGCAAAAGTGGAACATGGAAAAAATGGTGAACTGTCCCCCTCCCCCCCCCCCCTCTCCGCCCCCTTCCCCCCCCCCCCACCCCCTACAATTTCCCCTGGCTAGAGCCCTGTAGCTGTATGCGTTCCTTCCCGGTGTTTGCTAGAGAACAAGGCTATACTTGCTGACCGTTGCGGAGCACAGTGTCTACCAGGTCGTCCGCGAAACATAATCATTGGTTTGGACTCTGAGCTGAACACATCATTGAAGGCACACATTCGGGGACAGCCGAGAGTTGCACTCAGATTTGACATCCGCCTTAGTATAACTTGGAAAGGTAAGTTCATATTTAATTTTTTTAATTTTAATTATGAAACTCGGGTATTAAGCCAATAATAAAAGTAGAAAGGAAAAGGACATATGGAAACGAGTTAAGAGTAACTCTCCACCACTGTAACTAGATACTATATACAGTCAGAAAGTGCAACAACTAGGCACAAAACTGACAGAGTACTGAGACATTCGACATCCTGACACCTAGCTTCAACACATTTCCGTAGCGCTAACCGACAGCCTTCCAACTTGGAAGGTTCAAGGTTATGGAAAGACCAAAGAGGGGAAGGCTTGCCTTCCCCTCGGCTTGCCTTCCCCTCTTTGGTCTTTCCATAACCTTGAACCTTCCAACTTGAACCTTCCAACTTGGAAGGTTCAAGGTTATGGAAAGACCAAAGAGGGGAAGGCTTGCCTTCCCCTCGGCCAGTGAGTGCCGTGTGGGGTTCGTGAACCGCAGGAGCAAACAAGTTAAGTTGTAGTTTCGTAACAGGAGCGAGTTTGTTATTCCCCTTTGACTTGAAGCTGATCAAGCAGTTCTATTTCAAGCAGGGTCTTCTTTACTGATTTTTAGTTGCATTGCAAACACATAGTTAGTGTAGGGCTTGAATAGCCGAATTTCATGCATCAGTTGTCGTGGAATGCATGCAGAGAATTTCATGTCATCAGTTGTCGTGGAATGCATGCAGAGAATTTCATGTCATCAGTTGTCGTGGAATGCATGCAGAGAATTTCATGTCATCAGTTGTCGTGGAATGCATGCAGAGAATTTCATGTCATCAGTTGTCGTGGAATGCATGCAGAGAATTTCATGTCATCAGTTGTCGTGGAATGCATGCAGAGAATTTCATGTCATCAGTTGTCGTGGAATGCATGCAGAGAAAATTGAACAAGAGAAATGCTGTGTCCCTATTGTGGACTTTTCACTCTTACTGATATCCTCTTTTCGGTACAGTAAAACCTGTAATCATGGTAATCATGGTAATGGCGACCACTCGGATATGGTGACCACTCGACCATGGCGACCACTTTTCCTTGTCACGGACGCATTCACATTCAAAACAGCTCGGATAAGGCGACCACTCGCTCAACGCGACCGACGACCACCCACCTGCGACCGCGTTGCACAGTGCTAGTACATGTAAATGTATGCATTGCATGGTGCACCATGCATGGTAGATATACACATCAGTGCAGGAAGTGTAGATGTGCATATTATTAGTGCATGCACGACACTTGACAGGTCTGCACTGAGGACCCCAGGCACATGAGTCGTGCTAGAGTAGCATAGGTGTGTGCACTGTGATACACTGATCAAAATGATGTATCACATGTGGATATGGTCACGTGACCCACTGAACGTGGATAAGAAGACCACCAGGCCACGGTGTTGGAGAACATGCACTCCACGCCGGCTTACGGCCAGTTCACTCACAACACCACAGAGCTTCCAAGGAAATTAGTTATTCTTCTAGATGGAAAATGAGAAACGTCTGTTATCACCACAAGTTGGAACTAACTCCACGCCAAGATCAAACGGAAGCTAAGCCAGAAAAAGAACCATGGCCAGCTTGCCAAAAGTAACGCGTAGCAAGCGTGCACGCAAGCACACTCCATACATAAGTCAGGATGCACACAAAAGCTACAAACTCGGAATAAGGGCAGCGCAGACCACGCCGAAACCGCAACTAGAAGATTGACCGCTGACAGGTCAATCAGTGAATGGAAAAGCATGCACCACCGCACGGACGCGCACTCACTAACCTACAATCAATACACGGAAAATGGCATCACGCAGAAGGTATACCAAGCAGAGCATGCACAAGTAACAATACAGTTCCAGCCAGTGGCTGCCACGTTACCATAAACTACAACATCTCCCTCCCTGGTAACATCACCTTAAAAAGACAATAATAGGCAAGCACATCAAAAGAAGCAAAGAGAAACGAAAGGACATGAAAGTTCTGCGAACCATCACCAGCTACTAGTTCTCAGTCGTATCTCACTGGAGCCCTGATACCAGCTCTGTTCCGGAGCACATATCTTGGCTCTTCAGCTCTAGGCACACCTGCGACTAGCTCACCGGGCTCTAGCCGCATCGGGTAACCACCGTCATCCTCGCTCGCATCATCTGGCTGAGGCGGCTCAGGCAGGTCTACAGTAGGATTGGCTGCGGCACGCTTCAGCAGCTCTACGTTGACGATCTTCTCCACCCTGGGGTCTTCCACTTTCTGAACGACTACAGTCGACTCCGACAACACCTTCTTGACTCTCCAGCCAAGCTGAAACTTCGGGAGGCGTTTCTGCGCGCGGCTGGTCATCTTCATCATCACCACGTCACCAGGCCCGTAACAGCAACTTGCTTTGTCGGCGTCTTCTTGGGAATCAGCTGACGCCATTTCTTCATCGATCAAATCACGAATGGCAGCTGCTTGACGCTGCAGCTCAGCCGTCCATGCTGGCAAGGTGTACAGGGGCTGTTGGGCCTCTACAACAAGACCACGGGGCTGCCAACCAGTCATCGCTAGCTGAGGCGAAACTCCCGTTGCTCCATGCGGTCGGACGCGATAGAAGTACAGCAGCATTGACAGGTCGGTCTTCCAGTCGTTGGACTGCGAGTGTACTTTGCGAATCAGAGTCAACAGGGTCCGGTTGAATCTCTCCACGCTTCCTTGTGACTGAGGGTGTCGCACTGCACCGTGCTTGACTTCCACTCCAAACGCCAAGTACAAGGCGTCCATGACAGCATTGACGAACTCTGTTCCGTTGTCTGATCTGACCACCTCCGGCGGACCCCATCGGCAGCACACAGACACAAACGCCTCGGCAACTGACTTAGCGTCATGGTGCTTCAAAGGTATCACCTCCACATAGCGCGTGAACATATCCGTACACACCAAGACGCAATGGAACCCAGCTCGGCTCGGTCCTAGCTCCAAGGTATCAATCGCCACAACTTGCCATGGGCGCGCCGGCACTTCGGGACGTGTCGGCGAAGCATGACCACCAGCAGCAGGGTTTGCAGCGGCACAACTGTCGCAAAGACCGACGAACTCCTGGCACTTCCTTGCCATCCCAGGAAGGTAGCACTGCTGACGCATCATCTCATGGACCACCTCCCATGATCCGTGGCCAGTGTTCTCATGGGCGATTCGGAGGGCATCTTGCTCTAGCAAGCTCGGAATCACGGGCACCTCGCATGCTTCATTGGCAGGCGGCAACTTGATTGACCGATACAGCACGCCATCCCGCACTCTCAGCTGTGGTGCCACCTTCTGAAACTGCTTCGCCCTAACTGTCTGCATACCGTTGACATCCTCCACCGTCTGCTGGATGGCAGTATCTGCTCCCTGCTGGTCCCGGATGATGTCGAAGGCAAGTGGGGCAGAACTGTGGACACCTGCACACGCACTGCTCTGGGTCGCCGCCGCAACCACCGGTGACTCGGGCATCTTGAGCCAGGATGCCGGCACACGGGTCAGACGGTCAGCCAGGTTTTTCTGTGAAGGCACCCACTCGACAGATATCTTCAACTTGTAAACCTCGACCAAGTCGTCAATCAGCTGCAATCTACGCTCTACAAGAGCTCTGTAGAGGCCATTCACCTTCACTCGCTGGATGTTGCCCAAGAGAGACTTTAGCCATCCATGCACCGTCTTCGAATCGGTCATGACTCGAACGTTGGCCACTCTGTGATCCACGACAGCAGACAAGCCACGAAGGACGGCGTCTAACTCGGCAACGTTGATGTGCCGCTTGTCTGACTTAGGCCTGAGCCAACAGTGATCCTCAATCACGGAGCCATCTTCGCTGATGACAACACCTAGCGCCAGGTTGGATGCATCGCACCATAGGGACACGCCACCAGTCGACTTGACTGTCCACTTGCCGTTGACGGGATCCTCTCGTGAAACTTGATCCTCCACCGCACGACACAACTTCTCGAGCGCAGCTGAGACAGGCTTATCCCAAACCGCAGCATCTTCACAGCTCACTCGCTTGATGTAGCTACAGCACGGTCGCAGCCACGATGCAACAGGGTAATGACTCGTCAATCGACCGCACCAGGAGAACACTTCTCGCTTCGTCGGCTGCTCTGGCAACGTCAGATCCATGCCATCACGGCGACGCCACATCACGTCTTCACTCGACGTAGCAACCGATAGTTGCATGCCAAGCACCCTTGCGCCGGCAAGTACCTCTGGTGGCTTCGTCGGTAATCCGTACCGACTCAGCGCCGCAGTCACCTCCGGAAGTTGTTCGGACGGAGCAACGACATCGTCGACATAGTTGTCTGCATCAGGAAAGTCGCACAGCGCAAACTTCACGATGGCGTCCATGACTTTCGGAGCTATGCTGAGACCAAATGCCATTCGTTCCATGACATACGTGACTCCATTGAATACCACGGTCTGATACCGAACGAGGCTGGGGTCGACGTGAACTTGTAAAAACGCCTTCTTGATATCGACGACTACCTGGTCACCGCCACGGCGTCTCCACTCCCTGATCTTCTGGTCGCATGCAGGCGCGTCGCCTCCAGGATGGGAAAGAATCGCCTCATTCAAACGACGGTAGTCTAAGCAGGGACGTACAGGCGTAGACGCCTTGTGTCCTTGACACACAGCCATTAGAGGGAGGATCGCACCTGACTTGCCGTGTCGATCTGGATCATGGGGCACCATCCAACCATGGTCGATCCACGACTGCACCTCCTTCTGGTACTGTTGCTCCTGCTCTGCAGAGAGCTTCTTCCGTGAGTACTGTGTCACTCCGGAGCCAATGCTATCAGTCGGCTCTACACCACCTCCCCAGACCCAGGCGACGGTCCACGACTTTGCACTATTGTCCCAGCGCACCTTGAAATCGGCTGAACTGAGGGTGACACCATCCGAATCTCGCTCAACAGAGATGTGCCTCGAGAGCTTCTGCTTCGGCGCTCGTTCAGCATGGCCAGCTGCGGCAGCCGCTACATCGGGCCCTTTTCCGAACCGAATAGCACTCGCC